AAATTTTCGAAATATTTATATATATTAAATTCTTTCGCTAAATTTTAATTTTATATTTTTCTCTTATAAATATCTTTTTGTATAGGGAAGTCATTCTATTTTATTCTTCTGCTCGATTGTTTTTTAGAGATTATTAATTTTTTTCTTCTTAAATATAGAATATTTTATTTCTTCTTTTTTTATTTTCTCTATTTCTATAATTAAATATAGAAATTATAGAAAAAAGTCATAATATATTCTTATATTCATACTTCTCTAATTCTATAATAGAATTAGAATATTTTTTCCGGCGAATCAAATCTTAAATTATAGAAAAATGAATTTTCTAGATAAATCTCATATCATCTCCAAATTCTAATTCTACTATAATATCTTATTAGATAATCAAATGTATTTTAAGAATATCAAATTATTATTCGTATGATTTCAAATCTGAAATTATATAGAAACCTAATAGGAGCAACGAACCCGAATAAGTTATGCGCCCGATAGCAGCAGGAGAATCAGTTCTAAGTTTCGCGACCAGGACCCCTCCATCCTCGTGAGTTGTGTTGCGCGACGATTTTCGGCTCCGCCGGGGACTAGGGGCCAGGGGCTGGGGCGCGACACTCGCGAACGCTTACGTTGCGCACGCATTCCGCGTCTAATTAAATGACGATTCTATATCATGCAATCATAACCTTCGATGGATCCCGGCATAGATTTTTGCGAGACTTTGCGCTTACGACCACCAGACCCTTATCGCCCCCTTCCACGAGCTGGGGCTTTAATCATTTAGAACTTAAATCTGCCCTTCCTATGGAGCGATTTTGCCACTTCCAGCTGGAATATTTTCTCGCAGAACCATAGCATCCTTTTCTAGCTGATATAAGGCAAAGTGATCGGTCATTCTGGAATGGCCGACATCCTGATGAAATTCTAGGGACATCCCATCGCGTTAGTAGATTGAAGAACTGTACGCCTCTAATTTATATAATGCTCGAAGCACACGTGGAAGGAAGTGAATTCCGTCCGCTTCTTGTGTGAGCGCTTTCAAGGCATGCGTCCACTTGCTCTGCATCCTGTCATCTCCAGCATCCGCATCTCGGGTTCACCATATTTCCAATCGAATCTCTGTACCAGTCTCTAGCACCCGTTTGATTCCAGCCATACTCCTCATACGGCGAGCTTGCTTGCCATAAAAATATTCCAAACGTCCGCTCAAGCTATTCGGGATGCCATCTACGATGTCGGGTGTGAATAGCGAGGACCCATCAAGGCACAATTGAGACCACTTCGTTTTGTTCCTCAAAATCCGGCTGCAATGCTCATACTTTGTCACAACATCTGTCAAGCTGAGGCGACTCTTATTCGGCACATACTGGTCCGGTACTTTGAAAAAGGAGTCCACCAAATTCAATGCGTACGGTCCATATCCTGGCTCCAGCTGGCCGGCCCTCCCATTTGCCACCCACTTGGCTCAGTATCCCTGAGGCCCTATATTGCTTGAAGAGTGTTTCATCCTGCCGCTTGAGAATGGCCAAGGAATGGTGCCAAAATCAATCAAAGTGTAATCGTTGCGAATGAAAGTGTTGCAGCTTACTTACCCAGCGTCACACCGTGTCCCACCAGCCTGTCCACCGCAGTTTTTTGACACCTTCCGGTTTGATGTTCCGTTTGCTATGCTGCAAATTTCTGGCTAAGAGCACCGCCGTCCCAAAAGTCGTGGAATCGGAACCCACAAACCTCTTGCAGCCTTTGCAGGGTTGTTGTGTTGCTTTTTGACGGTGCAAAGCGGCCAAACAAAGACATTTGTCAGTCCCTATCGTTCATGCACTCAGTTCAAGTGCCTTGCCTACTCTTGCCAGTCATCTCTTCTCATGTGATCGCTTCATGCTGCTACATAATTAGGCGGCATCCCGTCAAAGTGCCGGGTCTAAGGAACAATAACGCTAATAATACTGGGCGTTGAAGTTGTCAGGGAGAAATAGTATAAACTCTCATTTCAAAAATGGGTCCTTTAAGTACAGGTCCCCCAAAAAGGTACGGTACTCCAACATCCAAAACAAGGGTTCCGACTAGCTGCTACAATGACACTGCGCCTGCAGCGGACCAGCATGACACTTCAAAATGCCTTTTGCATCAACGCCGAGCGAACGGTCGCGGAAACGTCATGAAGTTGCAGCTACGGCCCGGGTCCGCTTGATTCTTGGAGATTCTGCAACTCAATCGGCCAAGGAGCAGGTTAACTCGCGAGACTTTGGCTTCCACACTGGTTGAAGTTCGGGCGGTAAACTGCCGTTGGACTGTAAAAGTCTAAAGACACCGAAAGCCCCTATCTGGCACCCGAAGCCAAGTTTCATGGCCACGGGTGCATATCAGAGCTTGAACCCCAAAAGGTGGACCTCTCGATTTTGACTCGTCGGTGCCCTAAACTCCAAAATCCCTGCCGTAGCTCTCTGCAACTTCTGCAGGCCTTTGCTGGCAGCGCGGGGGAGGGGTTCTGAAATGAGGTGATCGCCCCTGGCCAAGATGCAACTGATCCGGAAATTTCGGCGCCACCTATTTTCTAGAACTCCCACTAGGAGTGAGAGGAAGATTTTGAGGACAGTGCTGGAAGAGTGGGTTCAGCCTGCTGCGAGACACCCAAATATCCGCAACAACTATCAGGGGATCCCACACTTCAGCGTCCTGAACAAGCCTGATCAAGGGGTCTGCGAGACCTACGAGCTACACCAACCACGCCTTCCTCTTTCAGTAATCATCCCACATCACATCGCACTCTTTCAGGCATTGCTCAATGGACCTTACGAAGGCCTCGTCATCCTGGCCGGGATTGCCGTAGCCCAGTTCACTTCGGTCCGTGCCTTTTCCCATGGTCCAAAACCAACAAATACTCTCTGGGTTCACGAGCACGATATCGTGGGACTGCATGCAGAAAACCTACAGCGATGCACGGCAACATGAAAAGGCAAGTTTCTGAGAAACTGCGTATTAACAGGAAAAGGATGAGCTCTCGCAAACACCTGGCGCAGAGTCTGCGGCTCAGTGCCACGGCTATCGACCCTATCTCCAACCCGAACCTCAGAGCCCTCAAAGCACGCCCCCTCCCACGAGCAGCCTCGTCTGGAAGTGTCGTGTCACTTAGGTCATCGTTGGCCAGCGGTGCACTTGGGGCCTGCACAAACCGCTGATGGTTTTCAGGTCCAGGATCGTCCGGGGCTTCATGGGCCACACTGAATGGCCCGACACTTGGCTCAGGCTTCACAGCTGCAAGATGTTGTGCTAGCAAACACAAGGTTCGGCGTGCTAAGGGTTATGAAGCCCAAGCACGAGGGCATTCTGAGAGCCATGGCCACCTTTCATATTGTTGATTGCCTGTGGGTTATTGCCTTGTTGGTGTATGTGTTTGTGCACATACAATTACATTCAATATATATATATATATACATATATATATATATATACGCGCATACATACATACATACATACATACGTACATACATTACAAGCATAACCTCTCATACATATATTTTTCCACACATACACATGCATGTATGCATAAGTGCATTGATGCATGTGTATGTGTGTATGCATGTATGCATGTATGCATGTATGCATGTGTATGCATGTATGCATGTGTATGCATGTATGCATGTATGCATGTATGTGTGTATGTGTGTATGTCTGTCTATCTGTCTGCCTGCCTGCCTGGCTGGCTGGCTGGCTGGCTGGCTGTCTGTCCGTCTGTCTGTCTCTGTCTGTCTGTCTGTCTGTCTGTCTGTCTGTATGTATATATATATATACGGTTGCACGCTGTCTAGGCAAGCCACCAGGCACGTTGAGGCTTATGGCGAAGAGCACCTGTCGCTTTGCCACTTTGACTGCCGCAGCTGCCTCAACCCGTTTCCTTATCTGAACTGAACCTTACGCTCGAAATCCAAAGCTTTCAACTCTCAAAAATTGCGGTAACAGACAAAAGGAAACCGCCCCCTGACTAAAGAATCAAGGTGCATGAGTGTAAACATACGTACATACATACACACATACATACATACATACATACATACATACATACATGCATATATACATATACATAAACACAAACTGCTAATTCTACGGATATGTACACAGACACCCATCCATCCATCAGTCCGTCCGTCCCTGCATATAATATATATATATATAGATACATATAATATGCATACATACATACATACATA